AGATTATTTTCAATATGCCACAAAAATTTTAATCTAAATAACCCTATAAGTATGATTTATGTTTGTATGTATAGATAAAGTAAACACATAATAAGCTCAATGTATACAAATGTATAGTTTAGTATTTCTGGAAAGGAAAATAAAGTCGTATTTTTTAGCTCTCCCAAATCTACATGCCTAGCTGAGATTTTGAGGAAAATGTGATTTTTGGTAAAATAAGTGTAAGAAACCCGAGATTTTTTCACTCACTCTATAATCCTGCATTACAAATAAATCAGCATCCTTTATTCTTTAATAGTCAACAAAAGGTTATTTTTACTTTACTGTGCACATGGAAAAGATATTGAATACAATATTTTCTACCAAGTTCATTCTTAGTACCAGGATATAGACTCATTTGCTAAAGGCTAATATGAGGTTGCTAAGTGGGAATGCAGAGCACAATATAAATAATAGCCCAACTTATTTTACATTATAGAATATATACCAAGAATTATTTCAAGATTTAGCAATTTAATATTCCAATGTATTATCCTACTATTTCTAAATTAATCTTATTTAAGTTGAATACTTTGGCTCAGTAATTCTGCGTCCTGAAATGTCACCTTGGTAAATGCTTATGAACTGGATAGTACTATGAGTGGCAGGGAATCTTATTATTATTGTTATTATGACTAAGTAAGAAGTCTGTGGAACAAGGGACAATTGTAAAGCAAGCTAATAAAAAGCCTGAGAACTGAATTCTAGGTTGTTCAAATATTTAGTGTTTGGGATGATGAGGAATAGGAGGAAAACCTCAGCATAGGACATAAGAAGAGAGCATGAAGATCCACAGTCCTTCTAAAGAAAGATCTTGGATGGACAGGTAGGAGACCACTGCACAGGGCCAAGGGGTCAGAATGCTACTCTGGTACTCTGAATGCTCTTTCCTATGTGAACTCATATTATGAATGCCCTGCAGGGACTCTGATGCCACCACAAGGAAAAACATCAATGGCACACACTGAGCAAACTTTGATGTCATTTATAGGACTTTAAGTGGAAGTAAAATTTAAAAAAAACTGTTAAATTACACTACATACAATATCATATAAAAATAATGATGAAGGGGCTGGGGTTGTGGTTCAGTGGTAGAGCGTTCACCTGGCACGTGCAAGGCCCTGGGTTCGATTCTCTAACCACATACAAATAATAAATAAATAAATAAATAATAAAGTTTAAACAAAATTGTAAAAAAATACTGATGAATATACAGATAGAGATTAGTTATGTAAAATAATTTGAAGACTTAAAATAAGCTTATTTATCATCTGACATCTGAATGAACTTATGACCTCATTTCACCTGAGATTATTTCTATGAACCACCTTATTTAAATAAATTTGCAAAAAAAATTATTATTTATGGGTGATATATGGTTTTACAGCAAAGGTATTACAATTTAAATCATAATATCACATAAGAATTGTTAGAAATGCTACCACAGATGTTCAAAATCATATGTGGTATAGTTTAACTATATTCTATCTTTAGCAGCACTCTGGTTTGATTTTTTCCACATTTGAAGTTATCAGGATTTAGAGGCATTAGAATAGTAGTTACACTGTTAAAGAGGTATTGATTTTAATGATATTTGGTTTGTTCTGCATTCCTCAAAGAAGAGAACTTATTTTTTCTATTGGTGTTTACAACCTACATGAAGTAGCTACAGTGGCAGATATCAGGTATGTTGGCCAGGGAGCAAAGTGAAGGTTCAGAGTCATGCCAATCCTGAAATTTCAGGGTATTAATGAAAGATCCATATCTATGCAAAGAGCAAATTAAATATTATAAAACATAGAAAATATTTCCTAAATACTGAGATGTATAGCCACTTTACTGAAATAGGAAAATATTTTTACATTTCCTAAAAATGAAAACTACATAGTATAGGTGGCTTACTTCTATAAGAAACATATTAATTCATACTTTATAATAGCCTACAGGTAGGATTTCAAGTGGAGATAATTTTTACATTTTCAAAAAAATGTTAAATAATTAATGAAAATAAAATGACACCTAAAAGATGCATAAATATTTTAGTGGTAAAACTTTGCCAAAATAAATACTATACTGAGTTTATAGACCCCTGTGTTGCATGAAAAAAAAAACATGAACAGAAACATAAACAAAAAATCAGTTCAAGAGTAATTAGGAAAATATTTATCAACTTGTATATTAGCTTAAGTGGAGCAGAGTCATTTAAATTATAGGACACAATAGTAGTATTATTCCTTTAAAAACTGGGCTTGGGCTGTGGCTCAGAGTTACAGTGTTCACCTAGCCTTCATGAAGCACTGGGTTCAATCCTTAGCACCACATAAAATAAAATAAAGATATTGTGTCCACCTATAACTAAAAAAATAAATATATTAAAAATATATATAACTATATGTACATGTATATCTATTTGTGTGTATATATATGTATATATATTTATATAGAATCAGAGTTAATTCCTAATCAGATATATAAAGTCTGACAATGAAATTATAGTGCATGTAAATATTCTAGATATGATGAAAATAAAAGATCATGGAATTGAATATAACCCTGATAGGTAAGTCATAATTTCATATCAGTCTTTTGTTTCTTTTAATTCCTAATCAGATGTTGTTCCTAATAAGACTTTTTGAGGTAACAAATGAACTTATATTTATATTACATTTTATAAAAAATAAACATAAGTATAAGTAAGAAATAATGGCACATTCTAACTTCTTAATCCATATAACACTTAGTAAACTTTATGGAGTACAATGTCTGTAAGATATTAAGAACATCTTAAATGACATCTTTACTTGCTTTACCAATGTATCCTACTAGCCCAAACAGGAAAAATATTACAGTCTTTTATAAAAATAGAAATGGGACCTACACTTTGGTAGCTTTCTTATCCTTCTTTATTTCAGCATGCTATCTACAGTAGTTTCCTAGCCACTTATTAAAAATTGAAAAGCAACAGTTATAAGCTCTTAGAAACATAATGGGTAACCCACTTAGAGCAAGCAGATGTGGATTTTGAAAGGATGTTTGCCTGGAGTTGCTGAAAATCATCTGTATCTTAATCTCCCCAATTCTGATGGGTAGTTGCTTTACCATACCTGTCCATTTCAACAGTAATTGAAACCAGGATTTTGGAAGTTAAAAAAAAAAATTCTTGCCATCTTGACAAGGATAGTTTCCTGAGAAAACGTTAGCTGAATATCCTTCACTCTTTTTCTCTTATGAAACAAACCAAAAAAAGTTATTTATAACAAGTCCTTGAGCTTATAAGTAACTTCAGAAAGTGAAAAACCCCATACAGATACAAACTCCACACAAGTGTGCATGCGCGCGCGCGCGCACGCGCACACACACACACACACACACACACATTATAGATGAAATTTAAACCTGTACTCTTTTTCTTGTAATAATTTTGATGTTGTAAAGTCCTGCTGGCATTTAAATAACAATAAAATTATAATGTATGTAAATATTCTAGAAAGATAAGAATAAAATATTATTGAGTTAAATATAACCCTAATAGATAAGTGTCAAAATTCCTAAATACAGTGAAGAACATATTAACTTTAAGCAAAAATGATTTTTTCCTCGAGCAAACCATTTGTTTTCCTTAAAAAATATAAAAAGACTGTGGCGAATTGTGTTAACACTGATTACAAGAAGACATATCCTTATCTCTACATATAAATATAGATACTTGATTTGCAGTAAGCACTTCATGGTCTTTTGTTCAAATCTTGCTCAAGTGCACTAACTCCTATTTATTTACATTGTATGGTAAATAAAACTATTATGTCAAATAAAATACCTTTACATTAATTGTATTTTAATTTTACACCTCTATTTGGTTTCCATTTCTTTAACCAATATATTTGGCTTATAAAACTACATTGTAGAAGAATGAAGAATGGATGCTTGAAGCATTTGTAGTGTTCTTAATTCCCTACAATAGAACTTAAAAGTGAACCAAGTTTTCTTTCACTATAGAACATGTCTAAACAGGTGCAAAGCACCTCTGTGTGATTTGGAGGATACTGTGCCAACCTCCAAGTGGGGCAGTATGTGCCCATCAGATGGATTTAGCTTCATATTTGGTAGAATCAGAGCTAAATGAATGGTTGAAAGCCAGCTGCTCTGGGTACCTTGACATTTATTTCTCAGGTGGTCACTCTGGTTGTCTTGTTCATAAGAGCTTTTGTAGGCACATAACAATGGAAGGCATAGAGCCTATATTCCTCTTCGTTTTATGTGAAGACCAGAAAGAGAAATCCATTTGGTTGTTTTTCTTTTCCTTTCTTATTTTCCTTTTTGTTATATTTTTCTGTGGTAGTGACCTGTCTACCGATACCAGAAATGGCTTTAAATTCATGGAATTAAACAAAGTGATCTCACTTGCTGAAATTTTTGGAAAAGTGCAAAAGAGTTAAATCCAAGTTGTTTTTAAATAGAACTAACCATATGTTTACCAATTTATTTGTATTTTGTTTATAATGAAAACCTAATAGAGAAAACAACCTGTACATACGAGCATAATAACACTTTAAAAATGCAAAATTTGATTATTGTACAGCACTTACCAATGCTGGTTTCACATTACTTGTCAATATACATTTAATATCCATTATGGTCTAAGAGCTATTCCACTTTAAAACTTTTAATTCTCAGAACTAATGATCACTCATTGTTTTTTATGGATAAATATAATTTCCATTTGAATCCATTAGTTAAAAACACAAAATCCCCAAGAATACATGTCCTAAATAACTACAAATAAAGCTCATTTTCATTTATAATTATTGTTGTGTGCTTCTAAATTACTTGCCATTTTTATTATTATATATACATTATATATATACATATTATATATATATATTTATGATCATCATAATGAATGTTCTTAATTATATTTTAGAACCAATTCTTTAAAAGCAGTACTGTAATCATCCACTTACAGTTGGTGATTTTCAGTGTCCTCTTCACTTCTCCACTCCCTGATCCTCCGCAACCATCCTCATCATCACAGTCTCCACTGACTTGCTCCACCATGCCACCACCACTGCCCAGCTGAATAAGCTCCCACTTGTTGGGTTTGGGTGACCTACCCTGTAACAACTAAGTGCAGACACCAAAAAATATTTATTATTAGCAAATTCTAATCTTCTAAGAACACAATTCTTAAACTTAGGTAGAAATAACAATCATTCTTATAGGGATCCACCATTTTGGTATAGATACCTTACTAAGTCAAATCTTCAAAATATTAAAACAACTGAATTCATAATAATGAGCAAAAACTTATATTCATAAAGAGCTATACTCTGCCTACTAACTTTGTGATAAGTCTTTGGATAATGCTTTAGGAAACAAATAAAACTATTTTTATTTATTTTATTTTATTTTATTTTTTGCTTATGGGTAGTTTGGCCAGAGGATCTTTTACTGTTTAAAAAATAATGCTTAAGCTTGGTAAAGCAAACTTCAAAAGGACACAACCACCCTTGTAGTGTGATCACCTGTAATAGTGTACAGTTTTGTACTATCTAAAATTTCTCAAATGTTAGAGTACTATCTTTCTAGAAAATAATTTCATCTAAAGAATCCAAAATTTTGAACACAAACATTAATATCTCTATTTAAACTTTCTCACATAAAAAAATAAGGCCCAATGTCTATGGCCCAGAAATGAATTTGGGGCAAAAGATTCAGGTAGTGTTTTTAATTTCTACAAGGTATTTAAGAAGTTTAGCTAACTTCTCAGTTCTTAGTTCTTATGGATTTCATTTACTTTTATAAGTAAAATAGATAGAATAGCCATTCTTCCCTGCAGCATAGGAGTGTTGGTAATATTTTTAAATAATATTGGAAGTGTGTCTGAACTCCTTTTCACAAAGGTGATGTTATAAATAATAGAATGTTTCACTTAAAGCTAAAACTGAGTAAAATAATCCAATATGTGACATTTTCTACTCTAACGTAGTTTAGGGGAACACATAAACCAGTATAAGCCCAAGAGGGAAGTGCTATATTATGAATGATATGTACCTCTTCTGCCCACTTAATGGCCATTTAGATTCTCATAGTACTTTATGAAAGATTTAGGATTGTGACTTCTTTTTGTGATTTTCAAAAAAAAACAGTATCAATTTGCAAATACTAATTACACAACCCACATTAAATCTTTCATGTTGAAGAATAATGAAATAGCTTCAGCATGTCTAAGATGAAAATGTTTAACATTTAAAGAATTCTTATATTAATCAACTGGACTTTGACAATTATAACTTCAAAATTTAAAAAGTCATGAATTCTAAATTATTACAGTTTTTAAGATTTAGTTTTTCTAAAGGTGTGCAAAACAACTGGTTAAAATTCTTACTTTTTAACAAAATTTTTCAAAAATTATATATATGTGTTAAATTTAAAAGAAAGCTTCTTTTAATATCAAATGAATTTAGTAAATTACATTTAAGAAACCTTCTTTACTATGTTTAATGTGCTGATGTGTATGTATTCTATTTCCTAGAAAAGAAGGGCAGATCCATGGCAATGGGGAAACATAAAAATGCAACAAACCATATAAAAATTAAAATATGAAAAAGAATTGTAAGTACAAATGGTTGTATTTTATACCATTTATCATGCCATTCATCATGCATTTAGTATCTTCACAAAGGGATTGGACTCTGAGGTCCAACCTACTTAGATATGAATCCTGATTCTGACATACACTAACCAAGACACATTGGATTGGGATAACTTAATTAAAAACTCAATTTACTTACATCTAAAGTACGAACATGAATTAATGTATGCCACATACATAGTGTGAGAAAAACTTATGTAAAGCACTTTGCAAATGTTTAGAATGTCAGCACATTAAAAATAATACATGTTGATTATTATTATCTACTTTATCATATATTCTATTACAATATTATTTGAACACCCAGAATACATTACTTGAAAGAATTATTTGAGAAAGAATCCAATTACACAACTCACATTATATTTTTTAAAGTATTATCTGACAAGTATAACAAAAGACAACTTCTCTGGTAGGTCCTGCTTCCTTTCTGACCCTGACATCTTTTTCTAACATTTTCCATATCAACCATATTTCCCTAAGATTTCTGCTACTATTTTTACTGGGATCGTTACCAGAATCCTGATGAAATCTCCTTAACAATATAAACAATGTGTAAGTCACAAGGCCACAACCCAAAGAATTTGAACTAAAAAATTCAAGCTGAAAAATTGTCCATATAAAACAAAAGTTACTACATTAGGAAATAAGATTCATTTGAAAGTCTTTGAATATATTCACTGTCAGAGAATTATTCACTTATTTGTATTGACTGATACAAAATAATAGGGAACTTTTAAAAACAGCATTTATTATGTTATCTACATTTCTCTAGAGTGAAATTGTAGGAAATACTTAAGGACCTCAAACTTTTAAGATATAGGATTGTGTAAAACTATATTTCAACTCAAATTATCTGTGCTGAGCACAATTGTAAAACTGACACCAAGATTTCCTACTCTATCCTTGGGACTGAACATATGATGTCACTTTCATACCTACTACCTTTCATATCCAAAGAAATGTTTCAAATGTTATTAATGTCAGTAATTAGTTGGTCTTGTACCATAAATAAAATTTCTCTGGGATGGATTCATATAATCACATAAGTTCTTTAAAAGGGAAAGATTTCTCTGGCTATCACCAGAGTCAAAAAACATTTGAAGCATGGAAGGTCAGGGACATTGAATCCAAGAAAAGTGTTTGTTGTGGAGGTATATGTTGGGATGCTGTGGGAGCCTATTAAAGTTCCTGTGGCTAGGAATTGGACTTCTAGTGTCCTTTAGCAGTTGAAAGTGGAGTGATCTGCCATGCCAACAGCAAGAAAATGAGGCTCTCAGCCCTATAACTGTGTTCTCTCTACTGCCTACTTAAGCCTAGAAGTGGATTTCCTTTCAGAACCTCCAAATTGTGGCTGAAAACTTGATTTTGGCCTTGTTAAGTCCTGAGAAATGAGCCAACTCAAACTTCTGATCAATAAAGCTATGTGCTAAAAAATGGAAGTTGTCTTGAGCTTCTAAATATGTGGTCATTTGCTATGTAGCAAGAAGAAAATAATATACTCTCCAATCCCTGATTGGGCCACACTTACTTCTTGGAAATTTTGTCTGATATCTTCTGATTTTTTACCACATTTTTCAGAACAAGAGGTGAAAATTTCCATAAGACACCACCTTATCCACAAGATGGTACCCTTGGAAACATGCTATCAGATTTCACCTTTGCATCAGTTTCATTTTCTCTGCCTTTTCATAATCCTTCTCACTGATTTTCATGTCTCTGAATAAGGGGTATAATTGCTGTTTCCTGTGATCAACTGATCCAAATATATCCAGGTTCCCATTTGATCCATGACTCCAGGTCTCCAATAAGCCCCTCTCCCTCTGATAGGGTCAATAGTTACCCCTTCTCATTCATTTTCTCAATTCTCAGTTACTACCTGTCTGCAAATGTTCATTTTCATTCTCAAAATTTTTAAAGTTTACAAAAATATTAGTGAATTTCCAGTCCAAAAAAAAATGGGCTTTTCACAATAAGAACTTTGCTCATATTCTCTCTCTCTCTCTCTCTCTCTCTCTCTCTCTCTCTCTCTCTCTCT